GGCGGCGGCCGCTCGCCGCAGCAGCAGCAGGGCCGCGGCGGCGCCGGCGCGAACGCCGGCGCAGGCGCGGGCGGGCCGTGGCAGGGGTTTGGGCTGCGGGGAGCGCCCAGCAGCGGCAGCAGCAGCATCCCGGAGAGCGAGGGGACGCGTTGGACGGGGTCGAGCGCCGAGGCGGCGTCGAACGAAGCCAGCCAGGGCGCCCGTGCGGCGGCCGCGGTTCCCCAGAGCGCCGGGGGCGCCGCCACCGGTGGCGGCGTGCGGCGCGCGGCGACGCCGCCGGGCAGCCGCGGCGCGAGCCCGCGCGACGGCGGCGGCGGCGGGCTGTCGCCGGGCGGTGCCGCCGGCGGCGGAGGCGGCGACCGCGGTGGCGGCGAAGCGTCGTCGGCGGCGGCGGCGGAGCGGGGCGGGCAGGAGCGATTAGGTTGCCGTGAGATTGAGGAATCATGGGACAGCCCAAAGGTTGGGACACTGCACGGGGACGGCTGCACCCCCACCTTTTCGTCTTCCCGCCGCGCCGACGGCGCAGACGGCGCCGGCGGCGCCCGCGGCGCCGGCGGCCCCAACGGCCCCAAGCACGGGCAGGCGGCGCTGCCCCCGCCCCTCTCGCCGCGCCTACAGCAGGCGCGGCAGCACTCCTCCCGCTTCAGCACCAACAGCACCCAGACGCTCGTCTGCGCCGTCGCGGACGGCCAGGCGCCGCCCGGCAGCCCATGCGCCGGCAGCGCCGCCGCCGCGCGCTCCCCGCGCTCCCCCACGCCGTCGTCGACCGTCGGGCCCCTGCCGACATTCGGCGGCGCCGCCGGCGCGGACGCGGCGGCCCACGCCGACGGCAACGGCCGCTGGTGGTGGCAGCGCAGCAGCAGCGGCGGCGGCGCGGGCGCGGCGGCGCGCGAGGACGGGGGGCAGAGCGACAGCAGCTTCTCGAACGCCAACTCAGCGGTGCTGCATGCGCGCGCCAAGTATGCGGCGGAACGCACAGTCCAGCTGGACCGCGGCTGGACGCCCGGCAAGCGGCGCCGCGCCGCGTGCCTCGGGCTGCTGCTGCTCATCGGGGTCGCAGGCATCGTCGCCCCGATCACGCTGACCAAGCGGCGGCCGTGGGTGGGGCCTGTCGGGGTCGCGGCAAAGGCGGTCGGTTTTGAGGTGGACACGGCGGTGGCGGCGCCGGCGCGCGCGGCGGCGGGGTGGGGCTGCGCGGCGGCGCTCGGGTCGGTGCAGGTGCGGGCAGGTTGATCAATCGGGATGTGCTTGGCACGCGTTCGAGCGCGGCCGGCGACCGTGTTTGCAACTTGTATGCGGAGCAAAAGCGTGATCAGACCGCGGTCAGAGCGGAGAGCAAGAACTTAGGCATTGCAGGCACCCAACTCACCTCGGGCCGCCGAGCGCCGCGGCTGAGCCTCCCCCCCCCCCCAGAAAAAGAAAGTCAGTCAAAACGGCGGCCGGGCCGGCTGCGATCCCCTGCCTTCTCCGCTCCCTGCCCAACAACCAACCGCCAAACACATGCCGTCCGCACCGCCGCTGAAGCGCCACCCGCTCGTCCCCAAACCCACCTCACCAGGCCTTGGAAGCTTACAAGACCGCCTTCAGGGACGCGTATTCAGCGGCGCTATCCGTCACCCCAGACGCCGTCTTTATTGAAGACATCTGGTGCAACGGCAAGGCCTACTTCCACGCTTCTCCGCCGCCGCCGGCCGCCGCCACGGGCGCCGCCGGCAGCGCGGGCGCCGGCGCCGGCGCGGGGCGGCTCGACGGGACCGCCATGCTCGAGGCCGCGCGGCGCTCAGGGGCCGGGGCGCGGGCGGCGCGGGACGCCGCGGCCGGGGACGGGGACGAGGGGAAGCTTCCGGCCGGCTTCTCCACGATGTCACCGCGCGCCCCGCTGCGGTCCGCGGCGCCGCAGCAGCAGGAAACGCCGCCGCAGCCTGAGCAGCAGCAGCAGCAGCAGCAGCAGTCCGGAACACAGGCAAAGCCACAGCCGCCGAAGCAGAAGCCGCAGGAGCCGCAGCTGCTCGTGCAGCCAGAGGGGTGGATGGTGTTCAACGACCAATCTTCAAGCGCGGAAGGGCAGCCGCCGGCGGCCGCGCCCACACGTAAAGTCAGGCGCGAGCTTCTCCAGGCGGGCCGGGAGGTGATGACAATCACGACGAAGTTCACGGTGGTGGTGTCCACAAGTGAGTTGGGGCGTCACACCTCCCTCGCGCCCCACCAAAACTTGGCAATGCAGTTTTCTGCCTGACGCTTGCGATGGCACATCAAGGCACGCCAGAGCAGCCATGCGCCAGCAGCGAGGACGACGGCACCAAACCGGCTCACGGCCGCTGCCAGGGCCATTTCCTCAGGGCACATCGTGATTCTGTCGTTTGCAACTCAATATATGACAGATTATTGAAACCCCATCCCCTCTGCGCCCGACCTGCGCCGGCCCTCCCACCCACCAGGCACGCCGGAGGACCTGCAGCAGGCGGTCAACACGGTCAAAGACGAGAGCCAGCGCATCCTGGGCCGTGCCCTGTCCAAGCACTTTGGCTCGCCCGTCGTCACGGTGGACGCGCCGCGGCGGCTCGCGGCCGGCGATGACGCGGCTGCCCCCGCTCCCGCATCTGCGCCCGCACCGCAGCTGGCCGCGGCGCCGCCGGCCGCGCGGGACACGGACCCAGACACGCGCCCGGCGCTGCCTTCGAACGGGGCTAAAGGGAACGACTCGCAGTGGCAAGTGCTGCAGCGATGGGAGGAGCAGTGGCAGAAGCAGCTGCAGCAGCAGCAACAGGAGCGCAAGCAGGAGGAGGAGCGCTACAGGAGCAAGCTTGTGGCCGAGCAGCAGAGGCAGGAGCAGGCGCAGAGGCAACGGCAGCAGCAGCAGCCACAAGCGCAACAGGAGCAGCAACAGCAGCAGCAGCAGCAGCAGCAGCAGCAGCAGCAGCAGCAGCAGCAGCAGCAGGAGCAGAAGGCGCCCGAGCTCGTGTTGGAACAGGCGCGCGATCACAGTTCTGAACCCAGAACACCATCGGCACCGCAGCAGCAAGAGTGGCCTGCCGAGCCGCTGCCGCAGCCGCAGCAAGAGTGGCCCCCCGAGCCGTCACCGTCGCCGCCGCTGGGGCAAGAGGCGCAGCCGGAGCTGGGGCAGGCATCGCAACAGCAGCCGCAAGAGGAGCAGCAGCAGGGTTCAAAGCAGTTTGGCCCTGACCGAGCGCCGCAGCTGGACCAGCAGCAGGCTGCAGATACCCAGGAAGCGTCACTCGAATCAGGGGCGTCACCGGACCAAGACGGGGTGACGTGGATGACCGCGTGGCCCACCGGCGGCGGGGACGCCCCTGCGGCTTCCGCTGCCGCCGGCCCCGCGGCCAGCCCATCGGAACAGCCGGCGACATCGACAGAGCTACAGCAGGCATCCCCGCTGCCGACGCCGCCCGGCGGGCCGCCAAAATTCGAGGCCGACCCCGCGCCGCCCGAGGACGCCGCCGCCCAGGAGGACGGCGTCGAGGCAGCCGGCGCCGGCACGGGCGTGGCCCCGGCCGCGGCCGAGGCCGGCGCGGCCCCACTGCAGGCCGGCGCGGCAGCCGCATGGCCCGAGGCGGCACTGAAGGACCCCGCGTGGGCCGGCGCGGCGGCGTGTTCGCAGCGGCCCGGTGTGGACACGTCGATAGAGGACAAGTCCGGCCGCCTGTGGGGCTGGGAGGGCGGGAGGTCCTGCGCATTCAAGGGGGCGGGCGGCGTGCCGCTGGGGGTAGACCCGCCGACGGTGCTCACGGCCGCGGTGCGGCGGCCCGGCGGGGGCGCGGGCGGG